GAGTAGGGGCGCAGGGCCCGGAGCGAGCGCGGTCCCTGTGCGCGGTGCAAACTTCGCCGCGCTATTTATGGGCGCAAGCCCGCACCGGCAAAGAGAGATGGCCAGGTGGGCGAGCCGGGGCCTCTGCGCCCTGCGCCCAACCTCAGAGGACGCGGATCCCGGAGTCCAGGTGCAGCTCTCGGATGGCAGCACCGTTCGGTTCTTGAATTCCATCAGATTGCCAGAAAGATCCCTCCGTGTGCTGTTTTCGCACTCCCTCCGAGATCATTGCCAGGTTGCCTTCTGCGGGTTCAAGGTCACCCGCGTGGGGCCCGCCGCAGCTGGGCCGTGGCTCGATGTCCCAGACCCGGCGGCCTTGGGCGGATGACTCAGGGCTGGCAGCCTGCGCTTGCCCACCTCCAGCTAGCAGCGTGCAGTTCACTTTGTGCCTTGCCGAAGTGGAAACCTCAGGAGTTCACTTAATGAAACTTTTCAGCCCCCCCCAACAGTTGGTAGTCAATTTTTATTTTTTTGAGTGAAGGGAATTAATATGTATTACGTGGTGTTTTTTAAATTTTACATACTTAATTTCAACTGTGGGCATCCTTTCGAGTATTGATAAGTCGTAAGAAAGTTTTATGTAAAGTTATTTTTAGCCATTTTTCCTTTAGAATAATGTTATTTCCCCTGCAGGCCTTTATACTTTCCATGTATGGATTGTTAAGAACGAATAGATCTGGTACTTTGATATTGGGGTGTTTTTACAATTCATTGGAATTACTGCTTTTGTTAAGTTTTTCGTAATTTTTCTTTGGAAGAATATTGTTTTCAGATAGATTGTTAGTAGGAGACAACAAGCAAAGTTTTCCATGCTGAAGTTTCAAACACTTAGGAGAAAAGTTTACTAGGTTCTACCTAAGGTTTTTAAAGTGCACCAGACCGGTGCGGAGAGTACCCCAGCGCTTGCGGGACCTTGGCCTTGGCGGCGCAGTGGTGCTGAGGGCAGCTGTCCAAATTCCCGGATCCCTCAACTCTGGCCCGAACGTGCGGACTCCTGTCAGTGCCGCCAGGTCTGGTGACATGGGTGGCCTAGGTGCTGGGAGGACCTTTGGGGTGTAAGGTGAGGGTTTCAGAGACTGCAGACGGAGAGACAGACAGGAGCGAATGCTAATTACTGGTAGGGCTGGGAATGAACTGGATGATCTAGGGAGATCTTTGTTATTCTGAGGGATTTGCAACTTAGACGGAGATTTTGTAAACATTTTAAGCACATTTTGGTAGAACCTTTAAAAATTGATATAATTACTGCTTACTAGAGATTAAAAAATAAGACCAGATTTTAGAGGTGCTAACATTAAGATAAATGAAAATACTCTTTTTTTTTTTTGCTCAGGGTCTTGTTTGGGAATGTGGATGGAAAAAAAAAAAAGATCCTTGGTTAGAAAAACTTCCCCTTTACTGTCTTTGTGGGGATTATTGCATTTGTGACTTAATAGGTTTTTGTAGCGCTAGTAATATCTTTGAAAGTAACATTTAAGATAACTTTTTGTATGGACTTGGGCAGGCGTTCGATTTGTGCCTATCTAAAGAAAGGTTAATTTGCATTGAATCTTGGGTATTACTTGAATACTTTAAAAAAAGAAAAAGAAATAGCTTAGAAAATTAGATTGCCCAGGGATGTTTTTGTGTGCATGCTTGCGGTTGGCAGGTATCTAATTATAGGAAGAATATTTGAGTAGAAGAAACCAACTGTACTTCACAAGAAGGAATGGCTTTGTACAAGACATTAGAAGCAAGACTAATGGAAGAGGGGGCCTAGTGTGTGACTTTCTTGGTACTTGTGGTTAGCATGTCAGGTTTTGCTTTGACAGTAGCTTTCCCCTCTTCAGACAAGTCTTGCACTGCAGGTGTGGGTGTCCCTCCTAATTTCTCCTTTGCCCTTCCTCCACCCCAGAAAAAACAACTGTTCACATGCAGCAAAACTGAGAACTTGGTTTGTCACTTGAAATTTTACTAGCTTGTAAAATTTTGTTGTATTTTCAGGCGGTAAATTGTGAACTAAGAGTCTTTACTTTCTGTTGAGTCTTTTGGTAGTCTTGCCTTCATATGCGTGTGTCTATTTTCAATGTAGAAGTAGAGATTTTGGGCTGGGAATTTAGCTCAGGGGTTCCAGCGCTTGCCTTGCAAGTGTCAAGGGCCGGAGTTCGATCCCCAGTACCAAAAAAAACAAAGAAGTAAAGATTATTACTTGAGACTGTCGGATGGTGTCCCCTGAAACTCGATACCACAGTTTGCACTGTCAAAGGGAACCAGTGCCAAGTATAA